ACTAGAAACTACCAATATGTCTTTGGGCTGTGGGAGGGAACCAGAGCACATGGAGGAACACCTGAAGAACATACGAACTCCATGCAGACAACACTCCATGAACACAGGGTGCCAGTGGTGTGAGGCAGTAATGCTAACCACTCCCCACTGTGCCACCCCCAACAATCATTCTTATATTCAAATTGGTAACAGTACCGCAGTTCTTCAATATGCACAATGCAAAAGGGGCAGCGGTGTTCCAATGTGGTAATATCAATTCCATCGCTCATGATTCTCGTCATGGGAACACCCCTGCGGTTTCTGGTTTTAGTCCAGCTGTGAATTTAATTGATTAGGTTAACTGAACCTTGTTAATTGAACTTTTTGCTTGATTAGACCTTTTTTTGTAACGGTTCTGAACTCTTACAAAGCTGGAAGGAATTAGAAATTAGTATTAATTGTGTACCAAGAGCTGGATTTCTCTCCTTATTTAAGTATACAGTTTCAACTGATAGGTTTCTGAAGTGTCAGCACTTGGGATGATTCGAAACAAAGGCTGCTTAAATAAGACTGTTTCACACAGAGTATTATCCACCTGAGCCCATACAGCCCTTAATTGGGCACCTAATAAGAGTTGCTTAAACCGCTTCAGGGAAGCAGCAATTCATAAAACAAGTTAAAGACAGACTGAACAGAGATCTCTTTGCCACATTTCTTGGCAACAATTTACTCAAAGAAATTTAATTCTGAAGCCAAAGACTGGGTGCAGAAAGTAGTTAGATCTACTTAAGAGAACAGTTCAATTAACGTTTCAAAAGCCGACGTAATTAAGAACTTAGCTGAGAAAAAGAACCAGAGGGCACTAGGTCTGAGAAACTTTCAAACAGGTTTCTTTCACTGTTCAGTGAGAAGTGAATGGTCTGAGTTTCTCCTGCTTGTTAATGAAACATATTCAGATAAATCATACACAGTACCTTCAAGCTGATCAGCTAGAATTTACCAACTCAAAATCCATACTTTTAACAAATGGTTATTTTTTTACCAAGAATTTCGCAACAGGTAATAAAGACACTGTAAGCAGAAAGCTTGATGGTTAGTTTGCCTTGTTGGCTATCACAAAGTTCACACAGTAAGGCTTCCTGATTATTTAAATTAAAGGTTGGCTTGTTTTAGGAGGAAAAAGCCTGTTGACTGTAAAACTAAAATCAACACAATTAAAAATGGAATTTTCAGACACAATTCCACCCATCCTTTATCAGAAAGACACACATTCCTGTAGGGATTGTTTCAATGTGAAGCGCATCCTGGAAGTATAAGGTGCAGGTCAGGACTACACCCTTAGATAGCATAACAGAAGGAAAATCTTTATGATTTATGGGCTGATACCTTGATGCTGCTGTAAATCGTACCTCACAATGTGAAGGCCACTAATGGCAAATACTTGGCTTGAAGATGTAATTCCTTCTGGCTGTTTTTGTTGTTATTTCACCCCATCAAATTGGATGCTTGTGGAGCTAAACTCCACATGAACTTGTTAATTAACTTAATTCATCTTCACACACCGCCTAAACATAGCAGTTCCCTCATGACCTTGCACTAATGTGAGTGTCCCATATCAGCCAAAATACTTACTCAGTCTCACTGCAACAGTGACTAATATTTACCAACCTTAGAAAAATTATAATATTTTAACTGCAGTTTGGATTTAAGGCACATTTTCTCCTTTTATTTGTTCTTAATCCTTTAAAACCCCAGTGATCCAACTGAGTAAGAAAACTT